GCAGAGAGAAGCTGTAAAAATAGCAGAGAGAAGCTGTTTAGCACCAGCAGCGGAGAAGCTGTGCACACGGCAGGGGAGAAGCTGATACACATAGCAGAGGGAAGCTGGCTAACAACAGAGGAACCGAGACTCGTCAGCGCTTTTGTATGTAGTAGGTACCGTAGTATATTATTATATCTTAATAGCACAGTAGACCGTTAATACCATCCCAGTACTAGAATATTAGATACACACGCATGGAAGAGCTGTAGCACACGGCAGGGAGAAGCTGAACAACATAGCAGAGAGAAGCTGTAACATACAGCAGGGAGAAGCTGTAACACATAGCAGAGAGAAGCTCTAACAAACAGCAGAGAGAAGCTGTAGCACACAGCAGGGAGAAGCTGTAGCACACGGCAGGGAGAAGCTGTAACACCAGCAGGGTGAGAGCGTGTAATCACACAGCAGGAGAGACAAGGCAGGGAGAAGCCCTACTGTGTTCTGAGTGTTCTCGCAGCTACAGTAGTTCACGTTGCAGAGTGAAACCAACACACAGCTCTCTTCATTGCGCTATATAGGCAGTAGGGGCCCTGATCAATAATAAGGACCGCATGGATTGATCTAGGTTGCTGGCATTTTGCTTGGCATGTCGGGTTGTGCAATGGCAATGCTGTCCACGTGTATGTACGTGCGCGCGCGCGCGTGCGTGCGTGCGTGCGTGTGTGTGTGTGTGTGTGTGTGTGTGTGTGTGTGCGTGCGTGCGTGTGTGTGTATGTTTGGTGGTGTGCGTGAGTGCGTGCGTGTGTGGCTGTCGGTATGGATTGGATAAGGATCTGTGTGGTCATAGTAATGTCTTTCGTTAATAGTAAAACATTTCGGACCCATTTGCGTCGAGTAAACCACACTTATAGACCCTCTACCGATTGTCATCGAGAGAGCGTGATTGTTATATAATCTACGTAGAGGTTGGATGTGATGGGGAATTATCAGTACGTGTTTGATGACAATCTTAAGAATGTATTTGATTGTGATCAGTAGAATGTAATTGAAATTGTGGTCAGTAATACTGTCTAGTGTGATTGAGTTTGCTAAAACGTGGTTGTGATCATGAGTGTTATTTTGATTGTGATCGGGGGAGCGGCTTGTGACAGTGGACAAAATAGTGTGATTGTGAAGTAATTAAGTAGATCAGATAGTGTGATTGTGATCCGCAGAGAGTGTTCTAAGCAAGTTAGTGTGATTGTGAGCAAAATAGTGTGACTGTGAGCGAGATAGTGTGACTGTTAGCACTATATTGTGATTGTGAACAACATGGAGAGTATTGTGATCATTGTGAGTGTGAGTGTGGTGTGCGCGATCGTGTGATTGTGAGTGAGATAGTGGGATTGTAAAGATTAAAGAAGGCAGTGGGATTGTAAACGAGACAGTGTGAGTGGGAGCAAGATGGTGTGATTGAGAATGTGAGCGCGGTATATGTTAGTTGGTGATGCACGAATGCAGTCGTCGATGCCGACGCCCACGGACGTAGAACGTGAAGCCGCAACCTCCTCTTGGCTATACCGGCATTACGTAGCGTAATGCAGTGCATCTTCACTCGCTGTATCAATTAAACATTGGGCTTCTGTCTTATGCATGTATGTGCGCGCATGCACGCACGCAGACACGTACGCACATACAGGTACATGTACTCAGGACTGCGCGCCCATCGTGTTCAGTCCCGTATTGCAGTGGTCAGTGGTGTGGACTGGATAGATGTGAGCAGGGGTTAATAATGACAATTTGTCATTATCAACCCCTGATGTGAGTAGCACATGTTGTTTGCATGCCGCGTAGATTCAATTTCATATATTGAACAGTTTGATTTACCGTTACAGGCAAAAAGAACAAACCAGTGACTTGTAAGTAAGTTTATCTCTGTTTCTTGAACGCGACGAGGTATCGTGGATTCACAAACATGCACCAATTCTCTGCACCCAACACGCATTCCTTGATATGAATTGTTCGCTGTACGTAGATATATATATATATATTATCAGGAGTTAATGAGACAATTTGTCTCATTAACTCCTGATATTGTATATACAGGGCATCTTGAATATATATATTTGAGTTTGCTGCAGTCTTTAGGCGTACGTCGTCTATTTGACACTAGCTGTAATAGGCGGCTCATATATTACCTGCTCGACACACAGTGACGCACAGCCACTCACGAAGACATGTACGCGCGCGCGCCCTCATACACACATCTGCTCGGCCGGCCGGCCGCACGCACGCACGCGCACACACACACATGGGCGCGCACACACGCACGCACGCACGCACGGGCGCACACGCACATGCGCACATGCGCACACGCTCACACAAACGGACGTACACGCACACACGCACGCACGCACGCACGCACACGCGCACACACACAGACGTTCACGCACACACTCACGCACGCACGCACGCACGCACACACACACATATATATATATAGTTTTATACGTGCACGCACGCACGCACGCACGCACGCTATCACGCACGTTGGTACACGGATGGGAGAACGATGTTGGTTTAAATGATTATCCATTGATTGCCATACGGGATTGCACCACTTCTGCGCGCAGTGCTATAGCTAGCATCTCTTCGCTTCACACTGAATGTACCTTTTGTATAGTAGTACCTTAAGTAGTCGTTCAAGAATAATTATGATGCTCGCGTGCGATACCAAGCGTGTCATCTCAGGTTAACACCCCCACCCCCCACCCTCCCGCGCGCTCTGTCCTTCCAGCGTCTAGCGTCACACGCGCACAGGCATGGAGACGCATCATGAACGCTATGTGCATGCTCTCAGCCTCTCGTGGAACGGCAATTAATTTCTGCTGTATGATGCGGTGACGATCAGCGCTCTGCGCCGTAGTCGGTTTACGCTGCTGCTGCTGCTGCTGCTGCTGCTGCTGCTGCTGCTGCTGCTGCTGCTGCTGCTGATGCTGCTGCTGCCTGTGGCCGTTATCTGACGTGAGGCACTGCGTTAGCACGTAAGAGGGTAAGCCAATATCAGCGCGTCAAGGCATAGCAGAGAGCTGATATGTGGATCCTCCCTTGCTGTCTGTCACTGCTGTAGATCGCTGCTGGTGGCTGAATAAGGGAAACGCTGCGTTCTATTTCTCAGTGATGATCCACTGTTTACATACCGTGTAGAGAAGGCAGAGTGGAAGAGCATATGAGGGGAGCTGACGGGGGGGGGGTGAATGTGAGGGTGGAGCGGGGAATGCTGGGGAGGGGGGAGGGGGTAGAGGGGAAGACGAAACGAGTTGGTTTGGGTTACAGGTTGAGCATGCATGAGGACGCGATTCAGCGTTTAGTTCAGATCTGTATGCAAGAATCTGCGTAGTTGCTTTCACTGAAGGTACACCTACTCGCGTGCGTGCATGTGCTTGGATTGCCTACAGCAGAGCGTAGTGCCAAGCACTAATGTTCTGTGTATTAATCATGCCGCATAGTCTCACCCTGCGTGTGCATAAATCTTTCACTCGGGCACATGTATGCAAACACGTTCGAAGTTCCTTATCTGTAGAAAGCCTTATCTGTAGAAAAGCTGCCAAGTTCACATTTGCGTAGTGATACTATTTTACGTCTTTATTAAGTCGCTGTGGTTTTTCACAATCAATGGTTTATGTTTTCTAGAAATAGTTTAACTGAAAATGGTGGGAGAGTGAGAAAGGGAATCTAATATCTATATTAGAAATATAATTATATTTATAACAGTACATTTTGCTGATTGACGCCTAAATATAGCACAATAAACTAAACCTTGTTATTGTATAATATCTTATCAGTATCTTGTATTTGATTAATTGGGTGGCCTTTGTGAGTAGTCCGCCGTGATTAGTTCTATGACTAATCAGTTATAATAGTTACTTTGTGTTTATTTGATGTAAATTTTTTATTTGCAGTTAAGGAATTCTTGGAGAAGGCACAGAAAGAGTTCAAGGAAAAATGGGAGAATCCACAACAGGTAAGAGCCATATATGTATATATATGCTGCTAGCATTGGCTTGCATTTAAATGCTTCGATCACAGATTTGGTCAGGTTACATTAATGTAAGAAATTTTATAACATGGAGTATTCATTATTCATTGTTCTTGCTGGGAATTAAGCAGCCACTCGGGGATAGGAGATAGTAAGGGAAACGGATGATATCAGTAAGAAAGCTAGTGAGTGGTTTGAAGCATTGGCGTCTTAGAGGACAGTGGGAACACATAAATCAAAGACAGGAAGACCAGGTAGCACTGTTTGCCTGTAAATGGCTTCTTTAAATACGTCTGAAAACTATGGGAATTTGTGAAGTAGTGGCAGAAGCGTGGAATAGTAAGTTCGTTCTCAGATTGGCACATGATGTTTATATTTATATATTGTTTTCACTAGTGCTGCACTGCCCAGCTTTCTGTTTATAGATGTGCAGTTTAAGTCGGCGCATATATATATAACCGATAACTTGCTATTTTTATCCACGCATTCTGAGAGTAATTATAGTTCTCAAGCCGGAGGGGAAAAATCTTCGTTTGCGAATTGACGTGCCGATATGCATGGCGCCCCTAGCCGTTGGCCAGAGCACGCACGTGTGTGTGTGTGTGTGTGCGTGCGTGCGTGTGTGCGTGTGTGAGTAAAGGCCATGTTGTTATCCCCTTACAGAACACAGCAGGCCTAACAGACTTCGACCGCATCAAGACCCTTGGTACAGGATCGTTCGGCCGAGTGATGCTGGTGCAGCACAAGGCTTCGAAAGAGTTCTACGCCATGAAGATACTGGATAAACAGAAGGTGATTGTTGTAGCTTCCTCTCCTCCCGTGTACGCTCCCGCGGCTCACTCGACTCGTCTGCCGCTAAAGTTTGTATGGCTGTTCCATTGCCTTAGATGTAATGTGCCGTCCAAGGCGGGTAGATCCCCCCAATTTTTCTCGAGTGTCCATTCGACACTGATGACGTGAGTGCCTGTGGCTGCTGGCTGAGGGTTGGTTACAAGTTACAACAATGAATTTACAACAGCATCCGTCTGATTTCGTTCTCTAAATCGGCTGACTGGTGAGTACTCACGCTCCCACCAATGGCAGGCCACGTTTGTTTTCGCTAATGAATCTGTTTTGCGATTTTAACTTGGCGGCAAAAAGCGTGCCGATTTGGTTTGAGGCAAACATTTTTGGCCCATCTGAAGTGCGTATATGTTTGACAAAACAAACATAGGGCCACCCATATGAGTGCAGCACTTTTGATGAAAAAACACGGGGAGAGCATCTATTTAAAATGGGCCGGCTTCATGTTGGTGTTCGTGAACATGCTTGCAGAATCAGCCGTGTGTCGTTCACTATGACAGATCCATTGATCGCATCCCTGGAACTACTGATCAAGAACATCACGACTGTGGCCGTTGTCCCGCATACGCTTGCGGAAATCGTTTACGCTTTCGTACTCGTTCACCCGGCATCCCGTGTATTGAAGCCATTTCTGTCCTGTCACGCGCGGCGTGAACGCAACACAATTAGGGGAAACTCGGAACATTTGTGTATGGATTTCTGCATGTGGCCGAGGTGCAGGGATGCGGGAGATGGGGGCAGTTGGCGTGTATATATCTATATTTATCCCCCATCGGCTGGTATTTATGATTGCACATGTAGTGAGCCGTTATCGCTCGCAGTCTCCCATGTTCTAGATGTCAACAGATGTACTGAGACTTGATAGCAGAACTGGAATGGCACAGCGATCGCGGGTCATACTCCATTAGGAGTGTTCCTAACTTTAATGTCATTAATGGTCATAATAACATATATATATATATATATATGGTCATGGTCATCATATTAGTTTGCGGTTTAAATGTCATTTAGGTTAGGTAGTGTTAGGATAGTCAACAGTAATCATTAATCAGTTAATGAATCAAAGTTGGGAATGCCTCTATATGGAGCATCGTAAAGACTAAAAGATCTAAAAGATCATAATAATACATTGTTTTTATTGCATTATTTAGTGAGTCCGATCATCGATTATAACTCGATCATCGTTAACAGTGGCTGCGAACCAAGCGCTTGTTATCAAAATCCATAATCGATTGCCATTAATTTTTTTTTTTTTAACTGAACAAGAAAACTTGACAAGTATAAGAATCAGAGATATTCACCTACTGAACAAGTTACTTGTTATTAAAATCATGTATTATACACACACAGTAGTACAGTGCAAAACAAACAGTAAATCCAGGCTAACACCAAGCACATACATGCACACACGTAAGGCGCACGAGTTGCCACACAGTATGCAAGGCATATCACACCCCAGTAACGCGATTGTAACGCAATCATCGTTACTTGGTTCCGAACAACGCGATGATCGATTTACTGAAATTACAACCGATCTGACAACACTGCGCCCCATTATTATTATTTTACACGTATTATTAGTTCTTGATTGCATGCTAGTCCTTTTAAAATACAGGAGTTCCACGCGACATTTGTTCAGGCTGTTCTCGAAGTTTAAATTGTACATGCATACCTTCCTCGCATATTTCTGTACGTACTTGGTGTATTGCCATGGTACACATGCATCCATACACTGACTGTGTGTGCTGTATATTCATAGTAATTTCACCAGTGATGAGTGAAGCCCTTTAAGGTATGTCAGCTGACTTCTATTCATATATATATTATATATATATACTATGAGAATCGGTGAGGGATATATTATATATATAATATAATATATAGATATATATATATATATATATATATATATATATATATATATATATATATCTGATGTATGGATTTGTTTATGTTATGTTGCCATTAAAAGCTACTGTAGTACCTATCTGGATAGGATGGACAACCTGCTAAGTGCTGACTATTACTTCAAGTGAGAATTTTGCTAGCCTTCCCCGATCGTTCTCGTATATTGGCGACCATTACAGTACTTCCTGCTGTTGCTTGTGTAACAGCAAGTGTCTACAATAATTCTAATACGTCTTAAAACGATCGCACATCGTTGCTTTCACCTAAATATAAGACAATCGAAATTTTATTTGTTGACTTCTCATTGACGCAGCTACATGATCATGCAACTTGTTTTTTTCGCTAAAACCCTGTCCCTGCACTTTGCTAATGGTAATTTGCATAAAGTAATAGACACTGTTTAACAGTCTAAAAGCACTTAGGGCACTCAGTGTGATACTCTGTCTGATGTCACCAATTACCAGGAAATTATCAAGACATTGAATAATGTGGCTGCCTTATTTGCAATTTTATATACCATAACAGTATAATCTCGTAGTAATTTTTATACTGAAGTAATCAGTAATATGTCCACTAATAGTTGAGCCCTAATCTGTTTACATGTTTGAATTTTTCGATAAATTTAAGAGATAATTTTAACACTGTCACAATATTCATTAACTTATTAACCGTACTGCTAATTATGGTATTAAAATCAGACAAAATATAATCATATATCAAAGATCGGAAGCAACGTCTGAAGTGAGTCTTATAAGCAGTTAGATAAGATAAGAGTGATAAGTTCACTCAGTAGCTAGTTTAAGGGACTCATCTGTCTTGTTGGCTGGCTGATTTCAGGATAAAATACGTGCAAATAATTGGTGGCAACGTAGCAGCATAAGTGTATGTGTGCGTGCACGTGCGTGACTGTATGTCATTACTTCTGCAGCTATAGGTTCAATGTCAAGATTTTCACGAGCATTTGATGTAAATATTCTCCACTCAGCATCTAGACCAGCTTCTAAGCTGTAGTAATCGAGTGTATAACAATCACCTTCTCTCAGGGACAGGCAGCCACGTACTGGGTGTGATGCTACATAAGTCACCAGGCCTGCTTCTACGTAACACACGGGTTGTGATGCTACCTAAGTCACCAGGCTTGCTTTTCCCTCTTTCTTGGCAATTTTATTGGCTTCTCTTATTGGCAAAATTTCGATAGCCCACCACAAAATATTTTGGCTATAGGTCTGTGGCCCCCTCATCGTATCTCGAAGACAAAAATTTACCAATAGGAGTTGTTGTCCTGTCACCAGGCTTGGATCACTGCTAATGTCACGTTGTTGTTGTTGTTGTTGTGATGCAGGTGGTGAAGTTGAAACAAGTGGAGCACACACTGAACGAGAAGAGAATCCTGCAGGCTATCTGCTTCCCATTCCTTGTATCACTAGAGTACCATTTCAAGGTAACTATACCATGACTTTTCATCTTTGACACTTTAGCGTCTCTAAAACACATTCGTTTATTTTCAGTGTAAATTCTGTATTGCAGTTGTAGCTTATGTCTAGATACAGTTGAAGAGGGAGATGTGAATCAAGTTGTAATTGATGTGGGGACATGCGTTTTTTCTTCTCTGAATCTTGTAACGCTACCTTAGTAGTGCACCGCTATGTTTGCTCAGTGATATCACGTGCACATGAATTATTATTGATGATGGGCGTATGGTAATATGTATTTGAAGTTGGTTTACTCTTACAATAATAGGTAATACCTTATCCTAGGCTGGAGAGAGTGGGTGTCTCTTTTTTGGTTTAATTTATTACTCGGGGGGGGGGGGGATCGTGGTTTAATTTATCACTCGAGCTTTCGTGTGTTTACGCGGATAAAAGAGGATTAAAGAGTGTTCATTCGCGTTCATTGCAAATGTTAATACGTGATTGCAGGTTGTTATACTGTACGTACGAGATTTCGTGGCGAACTGCTAAATTTACGGCTTTGGAAATATATTTAAAATGTTACAGAGAATCTATTTTTGCAGTCAGGTTTCACTAAAAGAGCATAGTCTGCTAAAGGGATCGTGTGCGCGTTTGGTTGAGGAGCTGGTGACGGAATGTTGTGGCAGTGTGCGCGTGAGGGTTAGGCCGGGTTGAAGGCATGCTGTCGTTACCAGCCGCCCGGTTGCGGCGTTAATGTGGTTATTGAGTGTAAAAGTATAGGATGCTTAGCACTGCTGTGCAGCGATGAATCGACTCCTCACAGCTGCTACTGACAGAAGGCAATGTTACTACTGCTGCTACTGCAACTGCTGCTCCTACTGCTGCTACTGCTGCTTACTCTGTTGCTGCTATGTAACCTTTTTTTGGCTGCCTGCTGCCTCTACTGCTGTAGCTGCTGCTGCTGTGGCTGCTGCTACTGCAACTGCTGCTCCTACTGCTGCTCCTACTGCTGCTACTGCTGCTACTGCTGTAGCTGCTGCTGCTGCTGTGGCTGCTGCTATCTGTGTAGCTGGCCCTGCTGTGTAACTGCTGCTATCTGCTCGCGCTGCTGCGACTGCTCACTGCTTGCTGCTACTACTGCTCTGCTGTGCGCTGTGTGACTGCTGTGCTGCGGCTTACTGCTACTGCTGCTTGCTACTACTGCTGCTGCTGTGGCTTGCTGCTAACTGCCGTGCTGCTGGTGCTGTGGCTGCTGCTGCCTACTACTGCTGCTGCTTGCTGTGCTGCTGCTACTGCTGCTGCCTGCGGTGCTGCTGCTATGATTCCCCTTCCTTGTTGTCCAGAATTCACAGGAGCACCAACGTTCAAGAGACTGGTGCAAACGCTTCACAAGCAGGCAACTGTTCTAACGAATAATTGCTTCAGAGCATCCGAATTTTGTTTACTTACTTTCTTTGTGCGGCCAGTTACTGTAATGATTGGCGAAGCTGATGATTGGTATGAAGAATGATAATGAAAAATTTGACGTTTGAGTACAATAGACGCGGTTGGTCAATTTACTGTTATAATATGAAATTGTATCAATTCATACTTGCTAATACTCTTATGCAGATTCAGCACGATGACTACTTGATAAATATGTGGGTGGGTGTGTGCGTGCGTGCGTGCGTGCAGCGTCCGTGCCTCGCTGAACACGTGGCGGCGGCGTGCCGTGCCGGGAACACAGTTTGTGCATGCAATTGTGCTGTGCGTGCGACTTTCAGAGCGACTTGAATCATGCAGAGACATTCACTCGCTAGTGTTACCTTTTCAGGACCACACTAATTTATACATGGGCTTCTGGAGTTCATATCCAGGAGGAGAAATGTTCTTCTTATTCTGCGTCGCAAGCGCCGCCTTCTCGGTGAGTGCCCAGTACCGGCCTTCTACCAGGCAACACGATCTCGTCCAATGAGAACAGAAGACCACAGGCCGGTCACGCCGCAACTCACTGCTCTAGTTGCCGCGTGGTCGGCCATTTTTTTTCCGATGCTCCGTAGAACATGTTCCACGCTGATGATAGCACGTTTCGAATCGCTGGGGCCTGATGCGAGAGCAGTGAGCGCGGTTGGCAAGGCGTTTGAGCGTGTAGCCTGTGGTTTCTCACACGGCGGTCGTCCGCCTCGCCTGCGTCGCCAGCGTCCCTCCGAGCGAGTACTCACGCGCCACCTCGGCACACCCGGAGAACTTACTCACCCGTGGCCAGCCTGCGCCGCTGTCACGCGCAGCCGAGGCGCGGCCGGCATGCTCGCCGTGCGCGAGAGGTGGCCACCGCTAGCAGAGCGTGGCGGCCGGCGACTTGAACCTGCGCTAATACGTTGCGTTGCTCTTCAGGTTGTCGCGTTGCGCCAGTGCGGGCGATCGTGCTGCGCTCGCGCGCGCGCGCACGCGTGCCACGCTGCACTGCGCGTGGCTGTTGGCGTGCCCGTAACACGTTGCATTTTGACATCATCACTGGTACCTTGCACTCTTATGACGGCCACCGATGCTGCTCGTGCATCGACCCCTGCCCCTCCCCCACCCACCCCACCGTACGCTAGTACGCGCTTCAGCAGCTAGTGCAGAAGCAGCACATATAGCTAGATTCCTCGCTGTATTAGCTGCTGGGCTTATAGCTGCAGCTCGCGTGCAGGTTACCAACTAATAAGCTACTTTCTATTTAGAGGCGATTGCCTACCCTAATCTCATAGAACTAATACGCTTGTGTGTCGGCTGGCAGGCCTGTGGGCCAAGTGGCCAGGTGCATGGCTGGTATAATCGTGCCGGCGTAGGGCCGGAGTGCGTAGCGGATTTCAGGCTACGAGGCGGGACTGAATTAGACGTGTTGCAAGGGTACACACTATGCGCTACCTGTTTGCAGGACAATCCACCTTTATAATGGTGCTGGGGATTCGTTCAATGGAGGAGAAATGTTCTCACATCTACGAGGATAGGAGATTTAGGTGGGACTCGTTGTTGATTCATCGACATACTGTTCCTTTATATGAGGCCAGTGTTAGGCTGCCCCCCTGTTGCGTGTGTATGGATTACTCCGTCTGGTTTGCATGTATATATATATATATATATATATATGTTCGTTGTATTTGTTTTGTGTGCGTCTGTGGTGTCTGTGTGCTTGTCTTTTGTGCCTGTGTCTCATGTTTGTCGTTATTATCTGTTGCCTTTATGCCTGTCTCTAATACCAGGGCTCGAAATTCAGAGGTAATCCGCTAATCCGTAGGGTAAATTACCCTACGGATTACATGAGGAACCCTGAAGGAAATCCGTACGGATTACTTAAAAATAACTTGCCGTTACACTGCTCCTTCCACCTCTGCAATTATCTTTGTCTTAAAATCATTAAATGTACACAGAGCAGACACAGAGTCTGTGGTGGCAGAGCCATTATACAGCATTTCAATCAACTATCTGACAAATCTGTACATACAATAAAATGCTGAGCTCCCAACGCTAAAACAGTAATGTTTAACTTTAAGGTATTTTATCCAGGACAGTTTGTCCTGCATGCAATTTTTTCTTTCATAGTAAAATTTAGCCTACCCTGTACGGATTACATAGATTTTGAGCGGATTTGCTCATTTGTGAAGGAACAAATCCGTACGGATTAGTCCTCAAACTGGGGAAATTCGAGCCCTGAATACTGTCACGGTTATTTCTGATGAATGCCTTTGTGGTTGTTCTCTGTTGCCTCTGCCCTTGCCTCTAATGCCTGTGTGATTGCCGTTTATGCATCTGGATTGCACCTAAATACCACTGCGTTTAGCTCTGATCCCTTTCTCGTTGTCTCTGCTGTATTTGTGGTTGTCTGCAATGCCGTACTGTTGTGTCTCTGGTTTTGCCTGTTGTGGTTACCTGTATTACCAATGTCTTCATTAGTCATTATTACCATAGCCAGTCCATAACTGATATCATACGGGGCCGGAATATTCATTGCGAAGGGCAAGTGGCGTTCTACTGGGTCATTAAATAAGTCAGTTTAGCGTAATTGCACGGAGAGCAACTACACACACTGTATCTGCATATTGCCTTGTCAGTTGCATGGTTGACTGGATTCGTGCACATTATCATCATTTTATTAAATACCAATCATATATAGGTGCAGTAAGGTAGTCAGCTACCCTGATGGGATGAGACAGTCAGGGTGGGGTGAGACAGTCAGGGTGGGATGAGGCAGTCAGGGTGGGATGAGACAGTCAGGGTGGGATGAGCACTGAGGCAAGTCAGGTGGATGAAGAACGTCAGGGGGGATGGGGCCAGTCAGGGATGGAGATGAGACCAGTCAGGGTGGGATGAACAGTCAGGGTGGGATGAGCACAGTCAGCGTGTGATGAGACATGTCAGGGTGGATGAGGCACAGTCAGGGGGGATGAGACAGTCAGCGCTGCGGATGGGGGCAATGTCAGGTGGGATGAGACAGTCCAGGGTGGGGTGAGGTCAGTCAGGGGTGGGATGAGACAGTCAGGGTGGGATGAGACAGTCATGGTGGGATGAGAACAGTCAGAGGTGGGGTGAGCAGTTCAGGGTGGGGTTGAGGCAAGTCAGGGTGGAGTTGAGCAGTCAGGGTGGGATAGACAGTCAGGGCTGGGATGAGACAATCAGGTGGGATGAGGCAGTCAGAGGTGGGATGAGATCAGTCCAGGGTGGGATGAGACAGTGCAGGGTGGGATGGAACCAGCTCAGGCGTGGGAATGAAGGCATGTCAGGGTGGGATGAGGCAGTCAGAGGTGGGATGAGACAGTCAGGGTGGATGAAGCAGATCAGGGTGGGATGAGGCAGCCCAGGGTGGGATGAGCACAGTCAGGGTGGGATGAGCAAGTCAGAGTGGGATGAGACAGCAGGGTGGGATGAGACAGTCAGGGGGATGAGACAATCAGGGTGGATGAGGCAGTCAGCGGTGGCGATGAGACAGTCACGGGTGGGATGAAGACAGTTCAGGGTGGGATGAGACATGTCAGGGTGGGATGAGGCAGATCCAGGGTGGGATGAGACAGTCAGGGTGGGATGAGACAGTCAGCGGTGGGATGAGACAATCAGCTGGGCGGATGAGGCAGTACAGGGTGGATGAGGACAGTCAGGGTTGGGAGAGAGCGCGGCC